GACACTCGAGAGAGAGAGAGAGAGAGAGAGAGAGAGAAAGAGAGAGAGAGAGAGAAAAAGAGGAAAAGAGAAAACAGTGGGAGAAACGAAGAGGCAGACGCCCTCATCGAGGGCGCGCAATTGCACCTTCTTCTTCTTCTTCTTCTTCTTTTTCTTCTTCTCTCATTATTCTTCATCAGCCTCGTCATATTCTTTGAGAATCAATCGAGGATTCTTCTTCCCTCTTTCGCGAGTCGTGCCTCGCTTGAAGGTGCCTCGATCGTCGGGACCCTCGCGTGTATATTTTCTCTAATATCGAAATCGAGAGATAGACACCATAAATAGAAAAATAAAGAAAGAAAGATAGAAAGACGTGTGATCGTTCGTAGTGCAGTGCCTCGTTCATGTGAACACGATGATAACTACTTCTATTGCTATTAGCCCTACTATCTTTGCTACTATTAGGACGGCGACAAAGACGACGACGTTTTGCTCGCTCACGCGAAAAGTTTGTGATAGTCGATGACAGCGACGCCATTGCTCGGATTAAACGAATACAGACGGCCGAGGATCGTGTTCCGGGAATCGTCTTGATTGGAAGATCCGGTGAGTGCGCTTACGATCCATCGATCTATATCAATCCTACACGCGAAAGTGTATTTTATTTTGTTTTCTTTTTATTTTTTTTTTTTTTTATATCGTTTTCACTTAGTTCGTTCGTGAAAATATTAGTGAGACTTTGTGCGTTAAACACTGATCGTTCACGTTTTAAGTGCGCCTACTGCTCTACGAAAGGACCGTCGGATTTTTTTTTCTTTTTACTTGATGTTTTTGTCTTTTATTAAGCTTTAAGCAAGGATACGTATCCGGATGTGCGCGCTACCGGACGAGAAAACAGGTGCGATCGTTTCTATTGTGTTGAACGGGGAGTCTCTTACTCGTATGTTTCTCACGAGAACTCGACGAATTTTACGGGAAGAACTAGATTCTTTCGAATCGTCTCACATCAGTTCGTCTAGTTTTTATTTTTCGATTTACGTTCTTTCTTGTAAAATCATCGATTTTATTTTAACGCGTGGAAAAATGATTTTTAATTTGTTATAAGAAAAAATTGCAAGTAGTCGAACAAGAGTCGCGCCACGAGCTTTTACGGTCGACGAACTTCTATCGATCTTTAGTTTCTATCTACCTTCTTCCTCCCTCGAAGTAACTCATCGCATTTAGAAAATACGACTTGAAAACGATAAGTCGCGACTGATGGTCGGTATTATCAAACATATTACAATCTTCTCAAATTCATGCATTACTCTTGTCGTCATCGTCACGATGATATTTGTTCATAAAATCAATAGATTGTAACATCGACACAACATCATTTTAACAAGCTAAAGTGACAGCGGGTTGTCATGAAAAATATTAAGATTTTGCACGTTCAACGTGTTACAATATATAATATCGTATCTGATAAAAAAAAAATTTAGATGAAATCGTTTTTTTAAACAGTAGGTATGTTTTCATTTTCTATGTTTTATTTTCTTTTTATTTTTAACAAATTACTCGAGAGCGTGGAAGTGAAAGAGACGCGGTAATAGGAGTTAAAAGAAAACGCGTAACGCGGTTATTGATAAACGCTATACGTCGGTAACCACGATCGATAATAAATAAGCAGTCGCCCGTATAGTGCAGGTAGAAAAGCGTCCGATAAGAAAACCGGCAACCGGCTTTAAGTGACGCGACGCTTTGAGCAACCAGCCACACTGTCCTCGTCCGTAGAATTCCGTGATAGTCTTATCGACGTTCATGCGCTTCTTCTTCTTCTTCTTCTTGTCAATTTTTTATTCCTATACTTCTTTTTTCTCTATTCCACCACTTTTGTATCAAAAACGATGAATCAATATTGGAATTATTTCTTCATCATTTCCAAAGAATTATATATTTTTTCTCTCTCAAAAAAATAAAAAATACAGTTATTCGTTTCTTTTTTGCGTAGGTAAAAAAGAGAGAGAGAGAGAGAGAAATATGTAAGTGAGTTAATACGTGTCCGGGCATTGACACGAATGGTGTCCTTCCTCGATAGATATATCGTGGCTTAATTTGCGGTTACCTCTTCTTAATTTGGTTTTACCAAATGAATAACGTTTTCCAGTGGCATTCGTATAGCATAGAGAGAGAAAGAAAGAGAGAGAAAGAGAAAGACAAGGCAAAAGGGTTATTAGTCAGTCGCAGTTATTTCATTTGCTGGTCGCGTTCCTCTTACTCGTCGGTATACCAGTTGTTTCTTCCTTCGCAATTGTTGATTTTACGACGGGACTTGCGACAAAGCTTTCTTTCCATGCAGATCTGAAAAGTTATAGATTATAGAAAGTATTCTGATTTTTTAGTTGTCGTAAAAAATGACGCGTTTTAACGCAAAGATTGATTTTATTTTTGGTTTGCATTTTTTTTTTTTTGCAGAAATTTTAACATAAAATATAACTGTTATAAAAATAACATACAAATTTTCTGTTAAACATTTTGACGCGTTATTTCTCAACGAACTGAAAGTTGCTACCAATACAGTCGACCGATTTAATGGTAACTCAAATGATTGACGATTTTTCACCAAGAAAAGAAACGTTGTATTGGTACGAGGCGATGATAATTGCGTGCTTTCAATTTTATAGTTCTTTAAAAGTCATGCTAGTTGAAACACGTAGATAAAATATGAGATATAGTTTGCAGTATTTATTAAGGATTTAATAAACCCACCTTCGATGGAATTTAAAAGGAAAATTTTAGCGGAACGTAAAAACAAAGCTTATAAGATTAATACGAGTTAATGCATCATAAGATAAAGAAATCGAAAAAAAAGAAAGAAATAAAGAGTGTAAGGTGTTTGAAGAAAGAAGAAAAGAATTGTTCCTCCACTCGTTAACGGTTTTGACTATCCACCGTGCGCTTTAATCTCTGCTGACCCAATTGCCGCGACCTTTCGAGCCAATGGCTATGAGAACGTAGCTTTTTTTTTCGTGAGTTAGAGTCACGTTAAACTCGGCCGCAGGCTATTTGAGTACCACCTAATTAAGCGACGCCAGTGTAACTTTGTGATGAATTATCATTGTCCCTCAAAGTTCAGACTTGGCTTTCTTATCTGTCAAATCAGCTGATATATTAAACCGCGTCTCCTTCTCGCGCCTTTTAACTTGCTCAGTGATTCTAAAGAGAAACGAAGGAAGAGACACATAGATAGATAGATAGATAGATAGATAGATAGATAGATAAATAGATAGATAGATAGATGGAGAGAGAGAGAGAGAGAGAGTGAGAGAGAAGGAGGGAGTAGGAGAGGGAGAAAGAAGAGAAATTTATAATCGGTGCGACACATAGCTATGTAACTACGCACCTTGCGCATTCCATTTGATTAATGAACGACCCGCCCGTTAAGTGTTTCATTAAACAACCTATGCTACATTGACAAACTTCGATCATCCATTTCTCCTCTCATAATTTGTCTCTCGTATATACGATCTATCAAGCGGTCGCATGTGCATCCATGAGATCACATTTCTATCGAGATCGACTAGCACAAAATCAGTTAAATGAGATCTATTACTGATCAAATCATCGTGCTAATTGTTTACTTAAATTTCATTCGATATTTCAGGCGATCGATAATGTTATTCATAAAATTAACGCGATGACAATTTTGTATTTAAAATATTTTTCTATTGTCTACAAAAATAGTAGATATTTGTTGTATTCGAAAATAGTTGTAGAACAGATGGTTTAATTGTCTAGGATAACAAGTGGAATATATTTGTAGGCAATGGTCCAAATATTTAAGCTACTCTTAAATGATGACGATGATGAGTTTTTGAGATAAAAAGAGAAAGAGAAATAAAATGAGAGATAGAGAAATAGCACGTGGTCTTTAGGAGCAGCTCAGGTTCGTCGAAGCAGCCTCCTATCTTGTTGGCTGTCAGATTGTTGACACAGGCAGTGACACGTTTAATAGGATTATTTATGCTTCTAAAGGCGCTTAAACGGTCCCATGTTCGTATCGGCTTCATCTACCTGACGGCGCGTAGCATAATTATGTCGACACGACTCGTATATCGGGTTCGCTGAGCCGAGTGACAACGCCTAGGCGTCCCTGATTTTGTCCGCGCTCGACTTCCGACGTTAATCTCGAGAAGGAAAGACGTTTTAATCGCCCACTATCGCGCGTACCAGAGAAAACTGGTTCGTAGTTCTCGTAGCACGCGAGTAGTAGTAGTAGCCTATCCTCGATCGATTTGTAACTCTCGATCTGCTGTGAGATTAACTTCCTCCGTAATTGTCCACTTCTGGTTCGACCAATATCAACAAGTATTTCAAGATAATATAATATCAATCTATTAACTGGATTAACATATCGTTACTTTTGATCCAATAGTTGAATGGATATTTGGAGGAAAGGCTTATGTTACATACTGCAAACTTTTAACAATGAATTTTGCATAGGCCCTTCCTTCAGAGTAACCTATTTATTTAGATTTTTGTAATATAAATTCGTCTTCAAGTTTTTATAATTGATGATTATATGAGAACAGAAGATATGTGTATTTCTATATACTCATATGGAAGAAAATATCTGTAAGGGAGAGGAACATATTGTTTATCTTTTCAGATAGAATGAGAAGCACTGTGAGAAAGCGATATAACGCGATATAAGCTCGGATCAGAGGCGACAACCGCTCATTAGCATACAATGCGGGCTAATGGGATCGCACGCTGACGGCTACCGTTCAATACCTTGTCCCCGGTATTCGTTTCGATTATCCTTCGCTCGTTCTGTAACCGAAAGCTTTCAACTATTTCAGTGATGAACTATCGAGGTGACTCGTGTCTTTCATTTTCCTCCACTTGTTCATACTTTCTTACGTTGAAAGTTTTAGATTTTCAATAGTATCGTATCGCGACAAAAAAAAAACCTATGATAAATAAATATTCGTAAGAAAAGGAAGATAAGAAAAATTGCAAATAATTATTTTCTTTGACAGGTAGAAAAAATTTCTAGCGAAATTATCGAAAGTATTTGTACCAGGAGATACGAGATTATATTATTCAAGGTAAATAATTGAGTTGTCGTGTATCTTATTATAACTAATTGCAGAATAGAAGAAGAGACCTTTACGAGTTTGTCTGGAACATCTTCTTCTTCTTCTTCTTCCTTTTCTTCCATTAATTCGTCCTAGTGCAACAGCATAAAGCTCGAGGACGTTCAATAGGAGCGATGATTTATCTTAACGAGAAGGTAGTATCGGGTATTAGATAGTTGTCTCTTTCTTTCTCTCTATTTCTATCTTATATCCTCTTTAACTCTATTTCTTTCTAACATTCAATAACAATAAGTATAGGTCGTATAATCGAATCGTTCTTAAGAAGAACAACTTCGAGCTAAGTTGGGTGTCACGATAGAATATATACATGTTTCTTTCTTTTTAGCTTTGAAAAGATAAAAGCAAGAGGAACGGGGTCTCTCTTTCCTCGAGAAGGTATTGTGTATACCGGCTGCTATTTACACGTCATCGCATAATAGTTCTAACTACGTTCCTCATTACCGGTGCAACGAATACGTGCGAATA